TTCCCAAATGTCTCCCCACACCATCTTTAGGTTGTTCCTTAAAACCTATCAGACTCCAGTCCATCCCTCTGACTGTTAACTGAAGATTTTGGTCACCAGGCCTTATAATGCCTGTCTGCTTCAGTTTCAAATTGTGAGTTCTTTTCATTCACTCATGGGATGTGGGCGTCACTCGTCAGGCTAGTCTTTGTTGGTCATCCCTAATTGAAGGATAGCCCTTCAGCAGGTATGGGTGAGAGCTGCCTTCTTGAATAGCTGCAGTCCATATGGTTTAAATATATCCACAAGGCTGTTATAGGGAATTCCAGGATTTTGATTTAATGAGAATGAAGGAACAGTGATATTGTTCCAAATCAGGATAGTGTGTGACTTGGAGGGGTACTTGCTAATCATGGTAAATCCATGTTCCTGTTGCACTGGTTCTTCTAGGTGGTAGAGGATTCAGTTTTGGTACATAATCTCTCAGGAGGCTTGGTAAGTTGTTGCATTGCATCTTGTAGGTGGCACACATTGCTTTGTAATCATCAGTGAGCATCTCTACTTCCAACATTATGATGGAGGAAAGGTCATTGGTGATGGGTCTGCCTAGGATACGACCCTGAGTAACTTCTGCAATGATGTTTTATGGTTGAAATGATTGACGTCTAATAACCAGAACCATCTTCCTTTGTGCTAGCTGTGATTCCAACAGCAGAAAGTATTCAAAATAAAAACCAAAAGAGCTGCGGATGCTGTAAATCAGGAACAAAAACAAAGTTGCTGGAAAAGCTCAGCAGGTCTGGCAGCAACTGTGAAGGAGAAAACAGAGTTAACATTTTGCGTCCGGTGACCCTTCCTCAGAACTGATGGTGGCTGGGAAAACATCAGTTTATATGCAGAAAATAGGGAGGTGGGTGGGGTAGGGAGTAAACGATAGGATAGAGCCCAAAGAGAGAGAAAGACAGTTGGACAGACAAAGGAGTTGCTAATGATCAGGCTGGGAGGGTGAATAGTTGATAATGGGGACCGTTAGTGACTAACAACAGGGAGTGTGTAGTGGCAGGCTATGTGGTAACAAGGCCTGGTGTGTGGGGTGGAGGGCTGAGACATGGGAGAGTTTAGGCCCGAAAATTATTGAACTCAATATTGAGTCTGGAGGGCTGTAGGGTCCCCAAGCGGAAAATGAGGTGTTGTTCCTCCAGCTTGCGTTGGGCTTCATTGGAACACTGTAGCAAGCCAGAGACAGAGATGTTGGCCAGGGAGCAGGGTTGTGCATTGAAGTGGCAGGCAACGGGTAGTTCAGGGTCTTTTTTGCGAGCAAAACGTAGATGTTCTGTGAAGCAGTCGCCAAGTCAATGCTTCGTTTCCCCAATGTAGAGGAGACCATGTTGTGAGCAGCGAATGCAGTAGACTAGATTCTTGGAAGTGCAGGTGAAGTGTTGCTTCATCTGGAAGGTATGTTTGGGCCCTTGGATACTGGGAAGGGAGGAGGTAAATGCGTAGGTGTTGCACCTTCGCCGGTTACAGGGGAAGGTGCCGTAGGGCTGTGGGGAGGTGTTGGGGGTGAGGGAAATGTGGACCAGGGTGTCCCGGAGGGAACGGTCCCTGTGGAAGGCGCACAAAGGCGGGGAGGGGAATATGTGTCTGGTGGTAGCATCTTGCTGGAGGTGGCGGAATTGGCGTCCGATGATCTTCTGGATGTGGATGCTGGTGGGATGGTAGGTAAGGATAAGGGGAACCTTATCGCTGTTGCGGGAGGGAAGAGAAGGGGTGAGGGCGGAAGTGCGGGAGATGGGTCGGACCTGGTTGAGGGCCCTGTCCACAACGGAGCTGGGGAAACCTCGGTTGAGGATGAAAGTATTCCCTTGATTTCCATTTACTCTAATTTTGCTCGAGCTCCCTTGATGCAACACTCAGTCAAATACTGCCTTGGTGTTAAGGGCACTTACTTTCACTGCCCCTTTTAAGTTCAACTGTTTTCTCCACATTCAGACCAAGTCTGTAACGAAGTCATGAGCTGAGTGGTGCTGGCAGAACCCAAACTGAGCATCAGTGTTTGGGTTAATGCCATTAAATAGCACTGTCAATAACATCTTTCATAATTTTATTGATGATTAAGAGTACACTAATAGGGTAGCAATTGGCTGGATTGGATTGGTCCTGCTTTTCATGGAAAAGACATGCCTGGGCAATTTTCCATGTTGCCAAATAGATGCCAGAGTTGTAACTGCACTGGAACAGCTTGGCTAACAGCAAGGCTAATTCTGCAGGTGTCTTCAGTGCTATTGCTGAAACGTTTTCACGGTCCATAGCCTTTTAGTATACAGTAACTTCAACCATTTCTTGATGTTATGTGGAGTGAATGAATTGGTTGAAGATTGGCATTTGTAGTGCTAGGAACCTTAGCTGGAGGCAGAGATGGATCACCCGCTTAGCACTGCTGGCTGAAGATTGTTGCATATGCTTCAGCCTTGTCTTTCCCATTGATATGATGGGCTATTTTAAACATGGGAATTTTTGTGGAGCACCCTCCTCCAATAAGTTGTTTAATTGTCCATCACAATTCATTACTGGATGTGATAGGACTGCGGAGCTTAGATCTGCTTACTAGGTTGTATGGATCATTGGGCCTGTCTATTAATTGCTGTTTACACAAGTAGACTTGTGTTGTTGCTACAGCAGGTTGACGCCTTATAAATTCTAAGTTGCTGGCGTCTCAAATTGATCTGAATTACCTCCTTTGAAATATACACAGTCCTGTGGACTGCCCTGTATCCTTTAAGTGAATTATTACACCAAAGGCGCGACATAAATGCAAATTGTTGTAAATGTCGGATTGATTTACTGAGGTTGCCAGCGCTGTTAAATGATTCTTCCATCCGTCCAACGCAAATTCCAACGATTCCGAACGGAAAGCTGTTGACAAACTGGGAGCTGTGCCTGCTGTGGTTGTCAAGGCAGGGTACGTTATAGCCCTGTTCCCATCAGCCCAGAATGAAATGTTCACTAAACCTTCAACATCCTTATCTTCTGTTACATTCTCTTCAGACAAAACCTGTCAGGATTCGGTTAACCCGACGATGCCGTAAATCCTAAAAAGAAACGAGAGACTGTCCAGCCGGTTTTTGGGTTTAATTTCCAAGGAATTCTGTATATATGAGGGTTTTTTTTTTAAGGCTGATATTGAATCCTGCGATTACCCAAAAAGTGCACGCTGACATTCATTGGGTTTGAGTCAATGGTCCAGCCTGTTTTCCCTCTGACGAGATACCGCAATCTGCTAATTTCTTTGGATCTGCTGAGTTGTCAGTAGCAGAGTACCCCTGACTGGGACCCCCTGTTCAGTCTGACTGACAGGGACTGATGTTGAGATGTCACTTTGCCATCGCTCGAAAATTGTTCGTATCAGTATCGGTAGATGTTTGATGCTTCTTATTTCCTCCCATCAGTTTCACCCCACATTTTCTCTATGAAGTGCCTCGCTGCAATCTCCATCCAACTCCTCCCCCTCTCACACCCCCCACCCCATCCAACCCAGATTACAAGCATCTCATCCAAACGTCTTCCTTTGAAGAATGTGTCCCCCGCCCCCTACGGTGATTTCCCAACTACTGAACGCTCACCCACAACTAGGTCGGATTTCAAATCCAGCAAAGGGTGCGGCAAACGGTCGCCCCAACAGTGAGGGCACAAAGCAAGTTGTTGTCAAGGCTTCCAAACTTTCTGCTAACATGAACGTAAAAATAAACAAGGTCCACCTAAAGCAGCAGTCCAGACGCTAACCCAACAAGTACCAGCGAGCGATAACACAGTGTGGACACAGCAGGCCAGGCTGCATCAGAGGAGCAGGAAAGTTGACGTTTCGGTTCGGGGCCCTCCTTCAGAAAGAGAAAGCCCTTTTCTGAAGAAGGGTTCCGACCCGAAACGTCAACTTTCCTGCTTCTCCGATGCTGCCCGGCCTGCTGTGCTCCTCCAGCTCCGCAGTGTGTCATCTCTGACTCCAGCATCTGCACTTCTTGCTACCTCCGAGTAAGCACTAGCGAGCTATTGTGTAGATTTGAGGTGAGGTATACGTACGGGCAGATGTACGTTGGTGTGTTTGTGTACTGGGTTTTATTCAGGTCTGTGTTTGTGTATTGGGGTCTGTGCTTTGAGGGTTTCTTTTATTGCTGTTGTTAGGTGTCACTGGTTAGTCCAGCATTTATTGCCCATCACTAATTGCCGATAGGACAGTTAAGAGTTAACCACATTGATGTGGGTAAGGAGTCACACCTAGGCCAGATCACGTAAGGACAGCAGATTTCCTTCCCTAATGGACATTAGCGAACCAAGTAGGTCTTTACAACAATTGGTAATGGTTACATGGTTGCCGTTAGACGTTTCTTTTTAAATTACCACCATTTGTTACGATGGGATTGAAACTCACATGCCCAGAATATTAACCCGAGTTCTGGATTACAAATTCAGCGGCATTGCCACTATCCCACCACCTCCCCCGAGTGTTGTTATGTGTTTTAGGTTTGGGTGTGTGCTGGGTCTGTGTTGGCGTAGAGGTCTGTGCGTGCGTCGGGGTATTTGTCTCTGCTTATGTTGATGTGTGTGCACATGTTGGGGACCGCAATTTTGCTGGTGCATGTGTTGGGGTTCGTGAGTTTTGGGTGTGTGTTGGGGTTTGTGAGTTTTGGGTGTGTGTTGGGGTTTGTGATTGTGTTGGGGTGTATATGTGTTAGAGTCTGTGATTATGTTGGGGTGTAAGTGTATTGGGAAGTGTGGTTGTGTTGGGGTGCATGTGTGTTGGAATCTATGTGTTGCGTTTGTATATGTGCGTTAGAATCTGTGATTGTGTTGAGGTGTATGTGCATTGGGATGTGTGATTGTACTGGGGAGTGTGCGCGTTTTGCTGGTCTGTATGTGTGTTGGTGTGGGCAATACTCTCGGATGCTGAAAAGTTGGATCTGACAGTGGTTGTGTGAGGAAAGAGTGCGTGAGCGCGTCAGCACCAAAGTTAAACACAAAAGCCTTTTACGCAGGGGCGAGAGGAGTTTCCTTTGTTCTAGACAGAGGCTTGTAAGAGATCAGAGAGAATTAACCCTCAGACACACGGCACTTTGGAGGTTATCGGTGGGCTGGCAGCATTGGGATGCAGGTAATGACCATTCCCATGCCTCTGGGGTAAGTTTTTGTTCCTTTATTAAAGAGACAGCTTTACGTGACAGTGTAAAAAAAAGATGATTTTAAAAACCGCGCTGAAGAGCGCGAAAGTTGATGGAATGGCCTCTCTTACTCTCGTTGTAGGGCGATAATCCGTTTAATGTCAAGCAGTCCACAAATAAGTTTTATTTGTCTTGATTGCAGGCAGGTCGTTGCAAAACAATTTTTAAAAAAGCGCAAATATTAGGCGCGTTGGATTTTCAAATATTTACAGTAGGCGAGCAACAGGTAGGATTTGAGTGGCGAACTGCAGCCTCCTTTGTAGCGACTGATACTGAACTCCGAAGGGCCTGAGAATGTCTTTGTTCTCAGTTTGGATTCATCACACTCAAACAAGCTCTTCATTCGTCTGAGAATAGAGCGAGGGCTCTCAATAATTCCTCACACTGACTACAGCGAACATGGCCAGGCATTGTAATTCTCTTCCAACAGAAAGCAAGGTGTTAAAGTGATTTTTTTAATGTATGTGGGGGAAGGTGTGGAAGTGGGTTCATGTTATGAAACCAAGATGAAATTGCCTTTTTTTCGCTGCCGATCCTGGCTGGGCGCTGCAATAAGGGGATCTTGACAGTTTTGTATCTTTTTAGGTCGAAAGTATAGTTTGCGCGGAGCAGTTTAAACGGCAAGGGGTGGGGGGCTGGGGGGGGGGAGGTGAAGGAGAGAAGAAAAAGCTGGCAATCAAGTCAAATCGAACTTGCGAAAGCAACTATTTGATCGCGACCACTTGGAATCTACAGCGTGTTTTTACAGTAGTAACCAGGCGTCGTGTATCACGGAGTAAATTAAATCTCACAACATTCCGGGCTTCTTGTCCCTTTCTTCTGGGTTCAGAGTTATACCATCAGCAGGTCTGCTGCTTTTGACGAAAATATACGTTTGCGCAGGTTTGGAGCACAAGGCTGCAGAAGTTTCATCGTTTTCCTTGGAGCAACAGTTCATTCGCCAGGTTGGCAACAAGGAAAATTCGTTTCTAAATATAGTTTCTCGACTTCAGATTGGTTTTGTTTTTTAAAAAAAGGAAGAGCTAATATCTAGAATGAATAGAATTCCATGCTATTCATCTTGGCGGCGGACCTCGAGTTGGAGGTAAGGAAATCTCCTGCGTAACTGTTATCACTAAGAGGGAGAAAATACTCAGGCATCCCTTTTGTGTCTAGTGTTAAACATTTGAAGAGTATAGGTCGCCCAGCATAAATCCAGACAGGGCAAGTTCTTTGTTTCAGGTTATAGGACGAACTAACCCTTCTGAACTCATATCACTGTCAGTCTTTGTCTATTCCTCACTTGCTTTTTCTTTGTCCCCCGTGTATGGCTCTTTATTTTTGGACGAAGAATCGCCCGAATAGCTTTGCTCTATGTATAGGAAGAATTAGAGTACAAATGGAAGTTTGAACTTGCCCAAAATTTGCCATGCGCAACCTTAACAAGAAAAGGTATCGCAAGACTTGGAGCAGCAATCTTGAATTAACAAAATACTTTAAAGATGCTTCCCACTGCCGTTAAATCATTCGAGACAGTACAGGTGTTATCTATGGCTTTCATTTCTTCTCAGACTGTTCAGAGATATTTAATTTTTCTTTTAATTATATGGCAATTATAAATATATCCAAAGTCCTAATTGTGCGTTAGATTTCGGGTTTGGTTGACAGTGCCGGAGTTAAAACAATAGATCATGGTCACCGTACTGACTTGAGACAGATACATCAGAATTTCACAACGTATTCTTAACGAGGGAAGTACAAGCGAGAGTTAATTGGAATCGGGTAAAGTCATTTATCATTAATTTTCTGACTAAAATTTGGACCTTCTTTACTTTCACCGATTCTAAACAGTGAGTTCAGCCACTCCCTATTCTTTTGTTACCCAAGGACTCCTCGTGAGAGAGGACCATTGTTTGGTACTGCATGTCTCCAGTTAATAATTCATAGATTTTTCTGTCGTCAGTTTAATTCAAGCATTTTAAACAAAATTTTCTTCTTAGCTATTAAGTCTAACATTTTGTTACCCAGAAATATTTTTTAAAGAATAAATTTCTTAAAACTAACCCTAACGCAAAAAGTTCAATAAAAGACATTCTTTAGCATATGATAAATTGCACGCTGTATTTGAAAAAAGTGCTACATATATTAGGGTAATGGATTCAATTTTTATATTATTACTAAAGAGGGGCATAAATAAGATTTATTGGTAGGATATATTTAGACCATTCCAAGTAGAACTAAACAGATTACATAATTTCACAGATCACCCTGTTTAATTACTTATCTCAAACTATACTTTAGCTGATTTACTTTAGTGTCTCTTTTACAGTCACATTTTGGCATGGCTGTGGGATATTTTTAGTTTTTACAGTGCTTATTCAGCCACTTCATAAAAAAAAGTGACATTTGAATATTTGACATAGAGAAATAATTTGGAATGAAACATGGTCCAGATTTGATTTCTTCAACACAGCAATGGATAAAACCGTGTGCTGGATAGTATATGTGGTTACATTGAACTTGGTGAATAGAAGTAAACTGATTTTTTAAAAATTGTGAGACAAAGTGCGTTATGATTCCATCCCTTTGTTTAACAAGGACTTTCAGGTAAAACTTATATTTATCTTTATGTATCTTGATACAGTGATGTCAAAACAGAGATCACATATTAATGCAAGTTTCTTATATTTCTTTTATATTTCTCTGTTCTTTGTTCATTTTCTATGTCCTTTCTCATGTTATGTTGCTTTCAATCATAATTCAATTGATTGCTCCCAATCTACTGGTGGAAGCTTAAGTTGCTGACTATAATAAAGTCATATAATACAATGTTGAGGCTTGGAGTGGGTGAGGGATATAAATGGAATGAGTGTCTTGAAGAATTCTGGTGTGCAGGGAAGCTATCATGTATGACATATGAATTCTCACATATAAGAGAGAGGATTTATTAGTTTAAGGTTGTGCCATTAACAAAGATATGAACTATTCCTGAAGGGGCTCCATCTCAATGGCCAAGTAACAGTAATTTCTCAAAACCAAACTAAGCAGCTGAGTAATTCTTTGAAAGGGATGTTTGCAAATATTGCTTAACCTTGACAAAATTTTCCCAATTCTTTTCAGAACCTATTATAAAATGAGTTGAAATTGAACAGAAGTTAAAGGTTACTCTTCTGTCAGACTCATTACCAGCATATCAATATTGAATCATTTACACTGCATTCTTTTGACTCATCCCAATTCATTGACTGGGAACAGACCCTCCGTCCCCTGTTTACAATATCTGTTTCTTATCCATTTCCAGATAATACACTAAATTTATATAACTAAGCTTAAGTAACAAACTTTTGAATTGAGCTTTGGCTTTCCAGTACTCTGGAAGTCTAGGTGCCTTACATTATATTGTTTTCTAATTACATATTTACTTTCTGGATTTATTTTGTTCTCCTAATGGGGATGGTGATACTTGGTTAACATAAAGTTAGTCATGAATGATTTTACAAGGGAAACGGGATGTTTATTTTATTGAGATTGTTCCATTTTTACGCAGAGTAAAAATTAAGTAGAGTAAAATGTTGCAGAAATGATACAATTTTTCATCTGTTAACAAAATATTTTCTGTTTCTAGGGAAGCATTCACCAGAATATATCAAGATGAAAAATTAATATGGATTTTTACAACTTCTAAAGAGCTAAATGTCAGTGGATTTATATCCTCTACTCATGCAATTGTAGACTCGTAAGCTGATGGAGGAGTTTGGAGATCGTATTTTGAAGGGTTCATCGTTTAAATCTTGGGAGCAACAGTTAGTTCATGTGAGGGCAAGCACAGGATACGATGTAACTTGATCTCTGTGGAATTTCCTTTTAAAAATTGGATTCATTGTGAAAATGGCGACATTTGGACAATTCTACTGATCAGGATTCAGAATGAATTTCAGGTATGCCAATGTTTTGCTTCATATATCATAATGTCTGCAAAGGACCATCTATCTTCTTTTATGGTTTCTCCTTTATAAAGATTTTCACTGTTGGTGGCAAACCAAGGTGAAGTAAAGTATCTAGCAAGAATTCAGAGGCAAAATGAGACTACACAAGTAAATAACAATGAGACCCCAGTTCTGCTCAGTGAATGAGGATAATGAAATTTATGTGGTGCATATGGACTTTCAAAAGGCATTTTATGAACTGTCACAGAACATGCTTGTGAACAAAGTAAGAACTAATGCAGTTAAAGGGACAGCAGCAGCATGTAAAAAAAATGATTGAGTAGATGGGAAACAGAATTATGAGAAACAATTTGCTTTTGGTCTGGTGGAAGTTTTACCATTGGGTTTCTGAAGAATTGGTATTAGGATTCCTGCATTTGTGGATAAATTATTGATCTCGGCGTGTGTATATAGGGCACAATTTTAACTTTTGCAGATTATATAAAACTAGCAAGCATTATGAACTATGAGGAGGATAGTGCTCCATTTCAAAAGGACATAGCTTGGTGGAATGAGTAGACAAGTGGCAAATGAATTTTGATGCAGTGAAGTGTAGTGATTTATTTTGATAGGAAGATTGAGGAGGGACAACATAAAACAATGAGTAGAATTCTAAAGGGTGTGCAGGAGTAGATAGATCTGGGGATGTGTATGAGGCTGAGAGGCAATTAATAGAGTCACCTGACATCCTGGAATTCACGCATAGAGTATAGAGTACAAAAGTCAATAATTTGCAATAAGCCTGTGTAAAACACTTGTTCAGTCTCAAATGGAGACTGGGGACCTCTGGGGACAAAACTTCAGGAAGGTTTTGAGGGGATTAGAGAAGACGCAGAAAAGATTCATGTGAATCATTCCAGGGATGAGGAACTTGCTTGGAGAAACTGGAACTTCTTGCCATAGAGAAAGTTAAAAGGAGATTCGATGGAAGTATCCCAAATCAAATGGAGCCTGAATAGAACAGATGGGGAGAAGCTGTTTCCATTGGTGAAAAGATTGGGAACTAGCATGCAACAATATAAAGTGATTAACAACAGAAACAGCACCAGCATGAGGAAAGTAATTTTTAAGCAGCAAGTTGTTAGGATATAGATTGCACTGCCTAAGAGTGTGCTGCAGGCAGATTCAGCTGAGGTCTTTTAAAAAACACTATTATATAACTATCTGGGAATAAATATTTTGTAGGGCCATGGTAAATAGCCACGAGAGCAGTATTAGGTGGGTTACTGTTGCAGAAAGCTAGGATGGACATGACAGACTCAATGGCTTTTTTTTCTGTGCTATAATGATTCTATGGTTTATGATTCAGTATGCTGAGGTTTTTGTAAATGTATCCAAAATTGGCATGTACATTTCATGGGCATGTGGGTAAAGAGTGGTGGTTATGAAGTTCTAATTAAAGAACAATTACCTTGGTAGTTTACACTTGATAACAGCTTGAGAAACTGTGTTTAAATAATCTTGTCCTTTCTTTGCTTCATGAGATTCTGCTTTTGTCACTATTTTTATAAGATGTTTGCTGATCTTTACATGCTCGATGGTTGTCATAGGCAAACAATTTGTAGGAGATATATATTGTCCCATATATTGGATGAATCAGCAAAGAGCTGTGCACCATTTTACAGTGTATCCATGGCAAGTGGAAGTAAATGTGCTTGCTTTAAGATAAAACAATTTGTATGTTTGGTGGTAAGATTGCTTGCTATTGTAACATCTTACAATTCCAACATTTCTGAAGTCCTGAAACTAAATAATTTTCACTGACTGCACATTTATTCTCTTTGTTACTTTGCAAGAAAGAAATTGCCTTTCTTTTGGTTAAATGACCAAAGATCCTTTTTCAAGTTCAGAAGGCCTGACGGAATGGATCTGTTTTTGGAAAGAAAACATTAATTACCTCAATCATATGCTACAACAACTCCCAAACGATCAAACTTCAAACATTGTATCTCCCTCTAACAATGTTTTATGTACATATATCACTCCTCCCATTGCTAAGCATTGAAGGCATACCTGTGAAAGAATAATTTTTCCTAAAACTAAATAGAACACAAAAGGCATGAAAAGTAAGAACGAGGAAAAATCCAAGGCTGCTGAGAAAGGGGAGGCTTTGGGGCCCAAACGTAATGATTAACTTACCAATTTCCTGTTCGTTACCGTATTATATCCTGGGGCTACTGAATCTATCTGGTTAAATATGTCTCATGTACATCTGTTAAGCATGTAAATCTGTGACATTTGACTGGTAACTATCATAAAGCCGTGAATTGCATTTTATAATAGTTTGCTAACGATATGAGTTTTTGAGAAAGCAAGATGGCAACTGAAAATATTTTTAAAAGAAATTACATAGTCCTTGCTAGCTTGATACTTTATTGGTTACAATTTGCGTACATGTTAGTGAATATTTTATCTGCATGGTAACATTACAGGAAACTATACTTTGCAGTTACAGTAACTGTACTTTGTTGCTTACTTAAGACTCATACTTGAGCCAATCAAGGAAATATTATATGGTGGATTTTATATAAATTGAAGCATTAGTGATGTGGACTATATCCAGAAATATGTTAGATAGATTTAGTTGAAAAATTTGCATGAGATACAGTGTAACAACATCACAGTTTCAACAAAAAAATCTGTTATAAGTTTTTGATATATAATCTGAAGACAGTTTTCAAGTAACTTGACCCAAAGACTGTAACAAAGTATTTTTCTGCTTAGGCTTTAAAATGCGGTCTTTCAATCTTTAAGTTACGTAACATAAGTTTTTAAAAAGACATGGTTTTCAGCTAAAGTATATATGTGCATACACACATATTCAGTATTCTTTGCAGCTACTGAAAACACCAATCAGAAATCCCATAGGAATATAATTTACTCATATAAAAGTATTTATGCTACTGTGTCCTTATTCCTTTTCAGAAGATGCGTAGGTAGCAACAAGGTTGCACAGTCATAATGGAGAAATTAGACACTGCTGAATCTACTTGTGTTAGAGGAGGCAAGAAAACAGGCAGAATTGTGAGCTTATGACATCAGCCACAAATTACATAGTGATGTGTTTCTATGTGCTTTACATTGATAGCAGCTAATCAGAGACAATGGGAAGAAGTTTTCATGATGACAGTGTTTCTTTAAAAAATACAAAACATTAGAATGTTTGTTGCAGTTATGTTCACCCCAAGCTCTTTCAGAAACAATTTATTTTGCCCAAATCTTGTTTCCTCCATTACTGATGACTGATCTTGATTTTAAGATTATTCACTGCTCCCATGATGAATTTACTGCAAAAAGGTAAAGCAATGCAACAGATAAGACTGATTATGTAGATTATGTATCATGAAATAAAATGAGCAGATCATAATTTTCATGTGCCATTCTTAGATTTTAAATGATGTACTAATGCCCACCTCTCATGGAACTCCAATCAGGTTTCTGCTTCTGCCACCATACTGAAATGGCTGATAGGAAAGCCACAAATAGGTGGAATTCACTCTCCAAATCTCAGTGCCTCTCTATCTCATGTCCTCTTCCTTAAAACCTAGTGCTTTGATCAAGCTTTGGTCATCCAACCTAATATCTTATTTTCTATTCATTCAGATGATGTGGGAGTTTCTGGCTGGGCCAGCATTTTTGCCCATCTTTAACTGCCTTTGGAAATGTGGTTGTGAGCTGCTATCTTGAACTGTTGCAGTCCATCTTGTGTCGATAAACCCATGTTACTCTTCGGGAGGGAGTTCTAGGATGTATACCCAGTAATAGTGAATGAATGGCCAAGTCTGAATGGTGTGTGCTCAGCATTCCATATCTGTTTGGTGTCATATTTTGTTTTATAATGCTTATGTGAAGTGCATTGGAATATTTTATTCTATTGAAAGCTCTTTATATAAATACATTGTTGCGATAATTTATTTAAAAAAATGACAAGGAAGAGGAAGCTGGACTTGTTTTGAAATCTCAGTAAGCTTTTAAATAACTAGCTAGAGTATGGGTCAGTTTGCTTCTCTGTGCTGAGTGAGTTGATCTCAGCTGGATAATGGCAGAGAGTCAGGAACATTATAGCTGACTTCTACCCCTGGAACAGGAAAGGGAAAATAAACCAGTGTACTCACTCCTGATTGCTTTCCAAAGAACCCCCTGACTGTAGTGAGATGTGTGTGGATGTCAAATGGGGATATAGTTTTAGTTCTGGTTTTGTGGTTGAACAGTCTGCTGACTAGACTTGAACACATAATAACGACTATGTTGAAAATGATATGACTGTCTGGCTCCTCTTCTATAAATAAAATCATACGTCAAACATTTGTTTGGGAAGAAAGTGTGAATGAATATAATATTTTTAAGATGGCATGATTACTGTAATTAATATGACTTCAATCCATTTATTCTACAAAAAAATCTTGATTTTCATACAGCACAGACATACACATTCAAAGTCAAAAAGCTTTTTACTGTATAAAGATCCTTTGTGTTAGTTTATGAAAGAACCATAAAACGTTTGGTATTTCATTGTTCAGGTTGCAAAAAAGCAAATTTACGCAGTGTCCATTACCATCAATTTCTTGGAAGGAGAATATTTTTAAAAAATGACATTCTGAGTTGAAACATTTGAGCATTAAACAGTTCTTAATCAAAATGGGGTCAAACATTTTGTTTATGGATTATAGAAAATCATAAAAGTAATGGGGTATTTTGTTTCTTGTTCAATTTTCCCACTTTCAGCAAGCATTAGTAAAAGATAGATATTTTAGGACCAAAAACTTATATCAAAAGTATGAGTGATGAATCGTCTGGGGATAACAATAAGGGAGTTGAAAAACTGACCTCAATTTTGAAATTATGGTGGGCATGGAGGGATAGGGACATCATCAAAACCTGTGGAACACGTGGGGATATTGTATCAACTCCTGTCTCCCCAAGAAAAAAACATAAAGGGGCAGCATGGTGGC